CAGTATATATATGTATGTACACAGATAAATATTAAAGAAGAATAAAAAAACTAATTCTTGTTACCTTGTTCATGGAATACTGGGCGTTGATAATTTTATGTTGATGCAAAGCTTGAAGGAGAATGAGTGGCTTTGCTGATTGACTCCGTTTCTAATTACAACATAATGTGTAGTGACATGTTTAGGGATATTTAACTATTATAAAAGAATTTTAAAAGATAAGGCGTTTCCAGAATCATGTACGTGAGCATGACGATTTATTTTTCCCCCTGTTTTGCTTCAAAATGTGCAGACGGGTGGCTCTTCTTGAGCTATAATCTGTTCTTGAATTATGGTTAAGTAGATAAGAAATAATGATTGGGAGTAGGAAACGTGACATGACTTTCCAATTTTATTACCAGTAGTGATATCGTCCAAAGGTTGACTTGATGTTGAGTTCTTGTTCGGGTTTGTAGCAGGTGTGGAATTTGTTCCTACAATTTGTTTATTTTGCTTATGTTATCTATTCAATAGTAATAAAGTTGTCATAGTAAGACGGTGAGTTAGATAAAGATTATAGCATCTCCGCTCAATTCATGGTGCTTTCTCTTCTTTTCCATGATTTTTGCCCTTTCCATCCTGTTTTTTTTTTCTATTGTTTTCCATGTTGACTTACACTGCAAGTTCGAAAACAACTATATTAGCTAAAATAATCATAGTTAGACGAGGGTTGTCGGTAAGATTAGAAAATATGTAACATGAGGACAAATATTTGGCAGATTTAAGACATTAACAGCGAGATCTACGAATTAAGCAATCAATAAATTCTCCTGCAAAAACAGCAAAGGGAAAGTTAAGATACAAATATTATTGTGATCAAGAACATTGGTTTAGATATACAAAAAGAGAGACACAACTCATTGGTTTTTTAAATTCATGTGTATCATGAAGTCTTGTTTCAGAGAAATAGGTATAGAAGAAGAGCAAAGAGAATACGTAAAGGAAAGATCTATAGATCACGTATGGAAGGAGAAGCGAAGAGAATTGGTCGAAGTTAGGAAACTGCAGAAAACAGTTAGAATGCAGTATCCATTGTTTACTAATTAATTGAAATAACTGCAACTTATTTATCTTTTCGTTAAAAAAAACAAAAATTTAAATCTTAATTTAGTAGTAATTAGAATTCGGAGTAACATAGTTTATAAATAAAAGCTAACCAAACCGAAATGTTGAAACAGTAAACCAATTATAAATTGTTACAAAAATCGATTGGTTATGGTTGATTCTGAAACCAACCATAATTGGAAAAAAATAAAAATATAGATTGTTAATGTAGTTGAATTTACATTGGCGATGGAAAAAAAAAATAATAACATAGGAAATGTGAGTTACATAATAATGGGAATGGAAAATTTAACATATGTTAGATACAACAGTGAGAAAGTAGAATACATATACAATATTAAAGAAATCTTAAAACCTTATATCCAAAATAAAGATGAAAAATGCAAAAAGAACGTGATGATTATGTACTACAACCATTAAATTATCATTTTTTCTCCTTCTTAATCTGATTCTTCAGCAACAGCTTCTGTTTTGTTGACGAATATTGGACACCAACATCTTCAGTTGCGGAAAGCAATCTTTTTAGGGTTTTAGTTGACATAGAAACATCAGATGAGTTGGGGGAGTCTAAGTTCTCCAATACATAAGACGATACATCTTGCGATCTTTTGGTGCCTGGAGTAGACGTAGAAACATTTCCAGAGTTGCTGAAATCTAAGTTCTCCGCTTCAGAAGACACGTTGTGAGTCTGCAAATACGAAGCATACACTGGGATATTGTAAAGGCATTATGAGACATGTAGAAATAAGTAAAAATATATTGGAACCTGATTTTTAGTTCCATCTGAAATGCCAGATATGGCAATGATTTGACCTTCATGAGCAATCTATAAGCCAAAAAAAAAATTATAAGCCAAGTATGAACGAAGGAAAGTATTTTGAATCCAAATTACTATATTGAAAATGTACATACCAAATTGGAATGAGTATAAGTGAAATCTTTAATAACGTTGGGGTCTTCCGTAAGGCTTACTACCCTGTAGGAAGAATTCCGTGCTGTTGTATCTGGAATCAAAATCTTAAATACATATTAACGACTTTCTAAAGTGAGGAGCTCTTCGGGAATTTGGTCAGACTTGTTAAACTGCAACATTAAAGCGAATTTATTTAGTTAAATATAATGCAAGTATAAGACATGGTACATGCATTATCGAATAAGAAAACTGAAAGAGGGGATGTGATACCTGAACTTGTTGCTCACGCAAATCATATGCGGATTTGTTAACCAGTGGAATGACCACATCATCGAACAAAAGAAATGAGGCAGTAGAAGTGTGGTCAATTGCTTGAATGTAGAGCTTATACCTAAAAACGATTGTTGAGAATAAATGCGATAATATATTATCATTTATGTTTAAAAACATTTTACATCTGCAAACCTCATTTGTGTGGCAGTAATCTGTTTTTTGCATTTCACGCAAGAAAACTTGTTTGCTTCTATTTCTTCAGTGTCAGGATTGAAGTAAGGAACTACCGATGTACAACCGATGAAAAACCAAGGTTTTCCTGAATGTGTGGAGGCATTTTTTGCAAGTATGTCATAGCTCTAACCCTATAGAGAGAATCAATAAATTAACAATGTGAAATAGCAAAATCTTGGTGATTCCTAGATATGAAAAGAATATCTTACAGCGTTCAATTCTGTGATTTGGTCGATTGTTTTGCGCTCAAATAAGGAAAATGTATGTTTGGAAATCTGGATTGAGTTAGAAGATGGGATTGGAACAATAGCATATGCCGACCTTTCTTCTCCCTCAAGCAAACTGGAAAACATGGAAACTGAACTTTAAATTGAAATTGCAACTACATGTTAAATGATAAAGTAATTGATTGCTTACGCTTCTTTAAATTGAGTTATCTCTGGCATTGTGGAATTGATAAAGATTTTGTTTGCGAATTTTGAACTTTGAATAGTTCCTTTACCTGCACTTAAGAGGAAAAGTTAACAAATATGTTTTAATATCAAAAGAAAAATTCTGTGAATTGAAAACGACCATTATATAGTCTAGTCTTCATCAAGCTGCCAACTAAAACAACTGGACCATCTGTATTGGTTTGAAGTTCAGAATGGACGTCTTCTGCAAGTTTACCCCATAAAGCAACATCAATTACTGAAAGGCTGAGACAAAGATTATGGCCGAAAATAATAGATAGTTAATAATACAAAAACATAATTGAAATAACAGGTTAAGGGAAATTTAAGTTTATAGCAGAAAAGAAAAGAACAATTATCCAAGATGTTTGATTTGAAGATTTAGGACCTTTGTAGGGCCCTCAGAAGTCTTTACATCTCTTAGATCATACATCCCAATAACCTCACCAAGAATGCCTGTGAAATAAATATAATTTGGATATAAAAAAAAAAGTAAATGTAGAGGGAAAAAGAGAGTAGGATAGGACGTACCAACAAATATATTATCATCATTGGTCTGATCTATTATGTTAGGAAAAGGGCAAAAGTTGAAACGTTTTGACAAATTAGGAATCTGGTCACATGGTTTGACACACGTATAGAAATTGAAGTTGATCTTGTAAGGGTGTGAACTTCATATAAACTTCCAATATTATTGGCTAACTCGAAGTTCATGATGACACAACATTCCTCTTCTTGTAATTGCTTTTCGAATTTAGAGAGTAAATTTCCTTTACCAGAGGCTTGTATTCTATCACCCTGTTTAGTAATAAAATTAAAGACAACAGTTAAGAATCTTGAGACTTGCTGCAAGAATGACTTGTAAATTTTGAAGAGCCACATCAACAGAGAAGAAGATCGAGATTGAAAGCACATTAAGAAACATATTTTGAAAGAAGTTTTACCTTCTCATCCACAAGAAGAAGATCGATTCCTGATAATTNTTTTGCTCTATCTTTTTTTGGAAATCCCCAAATACGCACAATACGAACTTTGACTTTACAAACTTCACTCGCCGAAGTAAGTTGTGACAAAGATAAACAATCCAGCGGCATGTGGAATGTTATATGATCTTCAATTCCTGTAACTGCGAATAAAAGTTAATATGAGAATTCATTGGGCAAAAATAATTATATATATGCTATAGATTTTACAAATTCGAGGGGTTGAGAGTGAAATTACCTTTAAAATAATTTTTGAAGGATTTCTTTACTTAATCGGTTGAAATTTCCAGTAAAAGTAGAAGAGAGAGAGATACAAAATCATAGCAAGAAAATTTGAAAGAAACTTGTTGGTGAAAAGAAAATTGATGAGTTTAACTTGTACACAATTCATCGGAAATAATAAGGAGGTTGAGAGCATAGTAATGGTGAACGTGGTGTGGAGGTTTATTTTAGCGAAGCGATTTTAGGGGACACGATAACCTAATAGAAATTGGGTAAAAAAGTTATTTTTAATAATAAATATTTAATATAAATATTTTCAGAATTTTGTGGTGAAGACACGTCATAGAAAGCTTACGTGTCAAAAGGAGAGTGATTTAAGCTTATTTGAATTTTAGTAGATAAAAGATTATGTTGACAGATATAGTCATCTCATAAATTAATCCTTTAAGTTGATACTAAGAAAAATGTACAAAATATTTTTAAAAAACTGTTATTCTTAGTGATATAAAATATCATAATGCATTGTAATAAGATCATTCTTGAGCCAACATGAAGAATGTCAGTGGCAATGATAAATTGTACGATTCATCATTCATCTTATAGTTAGACATTTCCATATTCATATATATTCCTATTTATATCGTAATGTCAGTGGCTATTTTTCTTTGTCTATTATGAATGACTTTCATTCATAATTTCACATACATATAAATATATTATATATCACGAGTATATATTTCCAAGTGCCAACTTTGAAAATCTTTTAAAGGTATTCAAAAAGAGAGAATATAAGATGGTATAACCATGCGGCTAGGGTCTTTGTACGTAATGCC